AGCTCTTCATGATATATTCTTTTAGATACTATTTAAGCCAGACCTTGCAACTATGTTAAACTCCACAATATATCTAGCAGAGTCTGTAATGAAATACGAAAATAGGGTCATACCTACCCAAGAGTTGCTTCTAAAGGGATCAAATGTACCAAAAATACCCCCATTATTATTCCTTCCCCAACAATATTTTCCTGGGAACATATCCCTATATCCTCTCCTTTGGAAGGCCCCATACAAAAATTTCATTTTTTTATATAGCTGGCCAATCTCAAATTTCTGTTTAAAGTAGCGAAGCTCATTAGTTTTGATATCTTCTATGTAAACAATGTTTTCCTACCGGATTCATAGTTTAGGAGCTAACCATTGACACATATATCGAAAGTTTTGCATAATAAAAAAAAAAAATAATAACGAGATACCTCCGGTAAAAATACCAACATTAAAGAACTTGTTAACTTCCGGATACTTTGACGACAAAGCATGATCTTACTAATCTTACTTCTTACTAATATTATAAATGTGAAAGTTTGTATGTTTGGATGTTTGGGATATCATCACGCGGAAACGACTGAACGGATTTGCATGAAATTTTGTACGCAGATAGCCTATCGGCCAGATTGGTTAATAGGTTATAAGAGTTGCCACCTGTTAAAAAAATTTGATTTATTTAATATGCGGGAACGACTGAATGGATTTGCATGAAAATTTGCACACAGATAGCTTATGACTTAGGTTGGAAAATAGGCTACTTTTCTTAAGAGTTTCAACCTGTTAAAAATGTTTAATTAAATTAATCCGCGGAAACGACTAAATGGATTTGCATGAAATTTTGCAAGCAGATAGCGTATGAGCTACAGTGGAAAATAGGGGAATTTTTTGGAAGAGTTGCCACCTGTTAAAAAAGTTTAATTGAATTAATACGCGGAAACAACTGAACGGATTTGCATGAAAATTTCCACACAGATAGCTTATCAGCTAGGTTGAAAAATAGGCTACTTTTTTTAAGAGTTACCACCTGCTAAAAAGTATAATTAAATTAATACGCGGAAACGACTGAACAGATTTGCATGAAATTTCGCACAGAGATAGCTGATGATCTATGTTTGAAAATAGGCTACCTTTTTAAGAGTTTCCACCTGTTAGAAAAGTTCAATTAAATTAATACGCGGAACTGACTGAACTGATTTGCATGAAAGTTTGCACACAGGTAGCTTATGACCTAGATTGGAAAATAGGCCACTTTTTTAAGAATTTCCACCTGGTTGAACATGAAATTTTGCCCACAGATGGTTTATGACCTGGATTGAAAAATAGGCTACTTCCTTAACCGGTTTCCCGTTCAGAACGAAATTTGGTCAAATTACTACGGACTTCGCCAGGATGGTCTTAGACTGAAAGTAAGTCCGATAACTCAAGGCCTCTCCCATACAAATTGGAATTTTCATATTACATACATATATCTGGAAGTATTTGTGGGAGAGAACTGAAACTTGGTATAGTGATATCTATGTGACATCAATAATGGCATTAATCGATTGCTGTTTTAATCAGTTGGTTAATTCGATTAAATTCAATCTGATTACAGTTAATCATGATTAATTTTAATCTGACTAAACAGTTAATCATGACCGCGATTAAAAAATTAATTTTTAATCATTAACTCTTAATTTGATCAAGTAGGTTTGGTGATTAATTAAGTTATGCTGGAATTTCCCTGTGCACACAAAACAAGTTAATCCGGTATGGCTAAGTCGGGTTTCCTCATCACTCTGAGCAATTTGGTGTGCATTTTCATTAAGATCTATACCAACAAACGATTTACAAACAAGGTTTGTAAAAGTTCCCAGTGTGTGTATTACTAATAACAATAATTATAATTTTTTTATATTATGTGCTTTTTATAAGCGTAAAACACAAAATAATTACTATAACTGGTGTTTGGTTTCAAATTCGGACAAACTAGACAACTTAATCAGATTTTATTTTTAATTGGATTAACGATTAATGGTTAAAATTAATTAATCCTAATCGCAGCCAGCTATGAACGATTAAAAAAATTTTACGACTACGACTAATTAATTTTAATCGTCAAACGCGATTAACATTTTAATCGCTAATTTTTAATCGTTAATCAGATTAACATTTTGGCAACACTGTGTGAAGTCATATTCATATTCACGAAGAAAAATGGACGTTTTTGGGAAAGAGGCGTAGCACCTCCCATACTGACTGAATGTTTCATATTGCATATCTCTTCAAATGTTTGGGTAAAGTACTCAAGCTTGGTATGGAAATACATATATAATGTATGTGAAACAAATACCATACTCACGGAAAAAAATGTGAGTTATTGGAAAAGGTGGTGTGGCAACTCCCATGCAAATTGATTTTTCTATGCTGCATATCTGTGGAGGTGTTTATTGCAAAGAACTGGAACTTGGCACCGAGATGTGTATATAAAAAATTAATTCCATGCTCATGGAGAAAAATTTGCGTTAATAATATTGCGAAAAGAGGACATGGTACTTCCCGTACAAATTTACTGTTTTATACTGTATATCTCTAGAGGTGTTCATGGTAGAATGCTGGGACTTGGTACTGGGGTATATAAAATCAATTCTAAATTCATGGAAGAAGATTAGGGTTATAAGAAAAAGGGGCGTGGCACTTCCTGTACAAATTGACTTTTTCTTGCAACATATCCCTAAAAGTGTTTGTGGAAGAATACTGGAACTTGGTATGGAGTTGTATATACAAAATGTATCAATTGATCATGGAAAAATTGTGAGGTATTAAAAAAGGAGGCATGCCCCCTTCCATACAAACTAAAAACTTCTTAATACATATCTCTGGAAGGATAGAAAATCTCTGGAAGTATTTTAAATTTGTTATGGAGGTTTATTTTATAAGTGCCGTACTGACATAAAAATTTCATTTAATGGAAAAGGGAGAGCCGGGTTCGGCCTTATTATCTAAAGCTCTATTGAGGCATTTGCTACAGTAATGAGGAGTGGTATTTTATCAAGGCAAGGTTACTAAATTTGAGTTGGAAATATTAGAACTCGCAGTGGCACCTACAAGAAGGTTACACGTTCACGCGTTGTTTACCTGGAATCATTTTAAGGTAAACTTGATATCTTTCGTATGCTTAGCGCGCAGACGAGATTTTATAATTTCATAGGTTTCAACGACCTATATGCCTTAACTCGTTTAAAAAATAACGTATTGGTTATCTAGAGAACTCCCTTATTTGTAAAAGTTGATTTAGCAAACGGCATATCCAAGTTTTATGAAATGTCGAATGTAAATAGCTTTCAGCAACCACCATATCAAAGGACTAATTCGTCACTAGGAAAGTTTTTTTTGCGACAAGCAGAAACAATGGAGACAGCCAATCAGCGGGCAATTTTCCTTTTCATGCACGAATACCCGACTTAGTCTATCAATACTAATTATATACGGCTGTACCGATTTTTTTTTTTGAAATTTTGGACAACTTTTGGTAATAGGCTGATACTAATTGCATTATATCAAGGGATCGTGCATCTCCGGTATGGTATCAATCCCACACTCATGGAGAAAAGTGGAGGCTATTGGAAAAGGGGGAGTTACACCTTCGGAACATGCTACCTATCTGTAACTACATATGTATATCATTTATGGGTACGTGTGTTTGTGAGTGAGCTCCTCCTAAACGAACGAATTGATTGTAATGAAATTTTTTACGTGTTCCATTGGTTTCCTGTATAGTTTAGGTTCACAACTTAAAACGCTAGGTGGCGCTGGAGTCGAGTTATTATTAAAAATTGTATTTACGATCTGATCTGCATAATATTCAAAACAGGTATTGGTAACGTGAAGGAAAATATTGCAGCGAAAACAATTGCTCGACACTGGCTCTGGAGTCGAATTATTACTAAAAATCGTATTTTTGATCCGATTTGCCTCATAATCGAGATAAATATTGGTAACGATAGGGGCAATACTATTGCAAGAAAGATCCGCAAGGTGGCGCTGGAGTCGAGTTATTGCTAAAAATCATCAAGTGAAGTTATTCGGGGACAGAAGGCATCAAAGTCAAATTACCACCGTTTAATCTACCACCATAACCATCGCGGTCCTTGTTTAAGGCGACTAAACAAAATAAAGACAATTCAGAATGAAGGCCTACAAATAAAATTGTAAGACATTTATGGTATTTCGTCTGAAATAAGTCTACGTATATCGGCCGCTGTGGTGTAGTGGTAAGCAGTGCGCACTTTCACTCATCAGCACCTGGGTTCAAGCCCTGGTCAAAGCAACATCGCAAAAAATATAGAAAAAAAGGTTTTTTCTTAACAGCGGTCGTCCCTCGTCAGGCAATGGCAAACCTCCGAGTGTATTTCTGGCACGAAAAACAGCTTCTCATAAAAATACAGTCGCCGTTTGGAGTCGGCGTAAAACTGTAGGTCTGTCCGCTTTGTGTGACAACATCAAGGCGCACGACACACGGCCAATCTATTATTATTATTATATTGGACTTCAGTGCACAGTCTACCAGTAGAAAAGGTTTTTGTTTTTGTAGCTGTTTCGTGGTGAAAGTCCTTTATGGGGACCAGATTTCCCCACAAGAAATTGAACGCATGGTTGCTTTTGCATGCCAAAAGAATGAATGTTAGAAAACATTGAAAAAAAGTCTGAGATAATACAATTATATTCTACTAAAAATAAACACAATCATGTGCGCTAATTAGATAATGCGATAATAATGTTTGGAAACTCTTTTCAACTCTTATTTTTCCAAAATAATGGGCCTCATGCATAAAAAGTGAGCTTAAGCTCCGACTCTATTTTCAGTACAAATTCTTGGGCTTGAGCTCACCCCTTCAGTGCAAAAATTGAGTCTGAGCTTAAGCTCACTTTTTATGCATAAGGCCCAATATTGTGGATCAGATTACTCTAAGCGCTTGTGTTGTTTACCAAGAAAATTAAGCCCTGTTGGTTTTTATTTCTGTATCGCATCGCGGTGAGTTTCTATTTCTTGGTAATTCGGTTTGTGAAATGGTAAAAAAGTTATTGAAATTTATTTATTTGATGTATTTAACATTTGATTAATGCAATTTTCTGTCTTTTCAGACTATTAATTACAAGCACAGCATCATCAACGGTGATTGCAAGAACTACTGCAATCCCTGCGGTTTTTCCTCTTGGTAAATGCGTTCTGGTCGTGACCAAAGGTGGTCTTCCAAATCAGCCGGGAATAAGGTTAGTAATTTTCAATTTTATATCTTTGTTCGTCGACATTATAGGACATGCCATCATTGCAGGCTATTGTTGCAGAACAAAATGCCCCAACCACTGCTGTGGTAAATATGTACCAGCAGTAGGCATGCAAAAAAAAAACATCGATGCATCGGAAACATCGATGTTTGCTATTCGATGTATCGAAAAATCCGATGTTTTGGACCTTCCAATATACATCGATATATCGATGTATTTTTTTTCGATGCATCGACTTTTGTGTGCAATGTACACTGTACCAAGGCGAATTTATACAAGGTGGTGTTAACAGAACAAAAAAAAATTAAACTAACAAATTATACGCACACTGACAATCGATACAAAACAAAATTGCAGCAAACACATCATTTAGACAAAAGGTACAAAGTCGTCGTGAAATCATCGGATCCGATAAACCACCTTGTATAGATTCGCCTTGCACTGTACATACTAAAATTATTTTGTATGTTTTCAAACTCTTCGCTCCAGTAACTATTCTGTATGTGAATTTTTCACGATTTATGCACTTTTAGAATATACATTATATTAATACTATCCAAAATGTCATTGCATTAATTAATTGCTTCTTTATTAGTAGAAACATTTGGTGCCAAAATACCATCTACAATATAATAATATTAATTGATATGATATTGACACTCTAAAACCATTTGGAAATTTAGACAGATTTTAAACAGTATATTCCAAAATTTTTTCACATAGCTTATCAACATAGAGAAATAATATAAAGTATGCAGCCAGTTTGATGTACGCTTATTTCAAAGCAAAATTTGAGTTTCTGGCATTAATCCTTGGTTTTTTTTTGCATACCTCTGCCTGATTCCGGCTTAGATCTTCATTCTGATGGACTAAAACATAAGTAATGCAACGTTGTGTGTACTTTTGCACAAGCGACAAGAATTTATTGACATGTTTATTTTTTTTATTTTTTATTCAAATCAAAAAACTTCATGATTTCTCTCTCAAAAGGGTTAACATGAAAATCTAATGAAGGAACAAATTATGGTAATAAATTGCCAAATAAGTGTACCGAAATATAATGGCATTGCTAGCTGGGACACTTTATATTATTTTATTATGCTTATAAATATTTAAATGTCGCCACTTCCATACCTTCCGAAAATTTCGAAGCCTTCTAAAAAGAACAGAAAAAACTGGGATTTGTTACTGTTTAAATCAATTAATACATTTCACTGTGAGTTATTACATAAACACTGATCGAAGTTACGATTGTTTCATTTTCTTGTTGTATATTTTTAATTGAAAGAAACTGTTGATATTTTCATTGGATGCATCGAAAATATCGATGTCTTTATACGATACATCGATATGTATCGATCCTATATTTCGATGCATAAAATCGAAAAAAACATCGATGTATTTTTTTGACTTGCATCCCTAACCAGCAGTACTGCCCACCGCCGTCGGTGCAATGATTGCGATAGCTGAACAAACGCCATCTCCTGGGCATTCCCACAGCTTGCCGACACCAGCTATTATATCACGTGCGAGTGCAACTGCGGCTAAATTTGGTTATTAACAGTGCAATAGTGCCATGTCATTGGCAACAACACTAAGGGCCGGTTGTTCAATGTCTGGTTATCACTACTTGCTGGTTAGACATCATTATCGACGATTTCGGCATCATGCGTATAACATGTGATCGATAAAGCAGTCGTTGTATCTAACCGGAGCTTCTACCTCCGATTTGTGCTAATCAGACATTGAACAACCGGCCCTAAGGGTTGCTGGCATATAGAGGTTGTAAAGTTTTTGGAATCGAAGAACCTACTCGAAGAAGACGATGGCCGCAAACCTATGATGAAACATCTTCTGGCATGCCTTTGATAATCGTTAAATATATATGTACAAAATCTTTATCGTTCTGCAGAACGTGCATGCGTATTCAATTCCGATTTTATGGGTCGAGGACAACCGAACTTCAGTTGGTTGGACAGTGGCTGAAATGGTATTATAAATGGCAACTAGCAACTGAAATCTGGCAACTGAGTTGCGCTATATTGGCAACTGCATTTTTGTGGCTGCCGGGAAATTTTGATTGAGATACTTTATTTCTTTTTTAAACTTTTTTTTAATTTGTATCACCTTAAACTTTATGAAACATAATTATTGCTATTCATAATAAAATACATTTTCATTTCAGTGGCGCTGTCCATCGGCAACCCAACCGAGATTCCGTTGCCATCCATAATCGATCCATAAGTCATAATCGCACGAACTAATCAAGGCTATCACAGAATCCATCATAGTCCAATTTTTCGTGAAATCTACGAAAGTGATATTGAATTCGAGTAGCTACGAACGCAGCGTATGCTTTGAATACACACGTTTATAACAGTTCCTATTCAGTGATCGCCTTTTCGTAGATTTTATGAAAAATGGGACTACGTTGGATTCCGTGATTGCCACCAATATGTATTCTCCTTTGACAAGATGTTGGAGAATCGCGGCAACACAGCCGTATACCTACTCTATACTTTAACGCGCATATGCTAAATTTCTCGAACCTAGCTAAAGTGCTTGACAAAGGCAGAAGGCATATCTTCAACATTATAACTTAAAGTAAAAAAGTTTAATGCATGCAATAAAAGAATACAACAGAACCAAAAAATGTTCTCAAAACCATGATAAAAACATAGTAAGGTAAAACCGTTCTCTCAATTCGTCGGCCATGATTTTTTTTGAAGTTTGCCAACATTTTAAAATCATATAAAATTGAGAGTAAACAAAAGGAATTGTTCAAAACTGTTGTTGTTTGAGATTGAAAATGAGAATGGGCACGTTCAGAAGGCGCAACAGCTCAGTAACTGTTGCGATTTTACCTTCTGAACGCGTTGTTGTTTACTTCTGATCAACTGAACAGTTGCGTGTTAGATGCTCGTAATATTTTTCTGATCATTTGAGACAACATGTTGCTGTGTACCTTTGAGAGTTGAATTTGACAGTTAATGCATCAAGCCGTTCAGAAGACGCATAACGATCACTGACTTTTTTAGAAACGGTTGCGCTCAACTGCTGCGTCTTCTGAACCTACCCAATGTGTGTATGAGCTTGTGTCTAAAATTTTAAAATTAAAATGCTTGCAAACGTCAAGAATATGAAAAATTCCTCTCAGCGGTTCTACCTTCTTATTTTTTTATCATGCTCAAAATTATTAAACATAAAAAGTTGCACGAATAAAATTCATAATTTAAAATAAAATAAAATATCGCAATTGTTTTTTATATGTACATACATATTTACAATATGAATCTTAAAGCACCCACAGTAAGTCCTAATCATATAAATGACTAAGAAGAAAAATAATAAATAACAGAAATGGGAACAAGTATGTCGCGAAATCTGTAAATAGTAGCGAAACCGTATCTCAATAATAAGAAGTAGTTTTAAGCAAAAAATACAACCGACTTCAATGCGCATTCACGTCGTTCTGGTTACGTAGACCCGACTGTCCTCCATTTTGTTAAAATCCTCAAAAAAATGAATACCTATTCTACAGGAAAAAAAATCAAGATACATATTTAAAGATTTTAAGTACAAATAAATAAAGGAAAACTTGTTCGTGATACCTCGACCAAGGTGTATCCATGATACAAAAATTTTAAGGTAAAACCGCTGAGAGGCAGCCTGAACATTTTTGAAGTTTGCTAACATAACAAAAATGTTTTCAAATTTCCAATCTCACAAATACATTCTCATGTTCAGTCTCAAATAAAAGAAAATTTCAATATTTTCATATATTTTTTTTTGTTTAACTTTTATTTGGCATTTGAGTTGCTCTCAAAATTTCAATTTTATAAAATAGACAAACTTCAAAAAATAAATGATGGCCGACGAATTGAGCAAGCAGTTTTAACTTTAAATATTTGTATCATGGCTGTATTATACAAGGTGTTATTGACAACTCAGTGCGGCTCTCTTAAGATACTTTTATGTCATAAAATATAAACAAACGATTCAAAATTCATAAACATTTTTTTCAATTTGACTTTATAGGATGGTTCTTCTGAGAGCGATGTCAAATTCAATCACACTTTGTTAAATACATTTTGATCTTTACCAAATAATATACTTCCTCTGTAAATATTTTATGAAGTGTCCAAAATTCGCTCCGAGCACGTTCACTGTTGATCATTTGATTTAAATAGTTTGTCAAACAATTAAAACTATAGTTTGATCGGAATTAATATGTTCTTCAGTAATTAATTTTATTATATTAAAACATAAGCTTATGAGAAATTATTTAACCTTAACATGCATATTTTTTATCGTGTTCCAAAATTCGCTCCGAGCGCGTTCACTATTGATCTTTTGATTCAAATATTGTTTGTCAAGCATTCAGTAGTGAAGTTTGATCGGAGTTTATATATTCCTGAGTAATTAATCATATTACGTTGAAATATAAATATATAATATGGTAGAAAATTAGAAATTATTAAGTCTTATACCGGGGACAGACATCTGGTATTTCTTCGTAGCATTTCCAAAATACCATAAGTCTGTCACCAAAAATTATAATATTCTTCAAAATACTACGTGAGCAACCTAGTATTTTTTGCAGAAATAATACAACTTTCCGAAGGTTGTAATTTTGTGGTATTCTCATTGTGAATGGGCATTTTGCACTGAACATACCCAAAAATGATAGATGTCAGCTGCTCATTCATCAAAAATCCATTGAAATATTCCGCCCTGGAAAAAGTCAAAAGAAACGCAAGTATATAAAAGGGATGAAACCCATTTTATTATAGATATATGGCGTGAAAACATACAAAAACTCAGAGGTGTGCATAAGAACGGTCATATTTACCAATATATGTGTGCAGAGCTTCAAACCAAATGTTTCAATAAAAATCTTAATTCTGGGCGGGACGAAGTTCGCCGGGCCAGCTGGTGTTTAAAAAAAAATAAAAATTCTGGGCGGGACGAAGTGCGCCGGGCAAGCTAGTTTTTAATATTTATTTCTGCCATATTTAATTCAGATAACATCGCTGTAACTCCGCCTTGTATGGTTGCTACTTCATCGATGAGATCCTGCTGCGCAAAGTCACGACAATTTTCAACGTTAGG